GTTTTACTAGACTTTGCTTACCTTCTGTTGTTCTGTGCTTAAAGAATCTACCATAACTTCCAGAAAGACCATGACTTACTAAGAGTGTAGTTGTAAGGTGCTTATCTTAATTACGTGAGCATATCAAGCCCTCACTAAGCTGTACAGGTCATGCCTAATGACATAAAAGAGAAATAATTTGAATTCTCAAAGAATTTGCTAAACTCATCTTCTCTTTTTTTTTTGGGGGGGTGTCTCATTTTGGCCAGAAGAGGGCGGTATTGCATGGGTGGTATCCACTGTAACAGGGATATTCCCAGGAGCACTTTTTAAATAAAAATGGCAGCTATTTGTACTGAACATTTTGTTTGGTTCCCAGTTTTTTAAAAATACTTAAAATGACCAGAGCAACACGAATACCAAGACTGATGTGACCTAACCAGCGGAGGAAAACCTACAGCATTCATGCTGCAGCCAGTCATTAAAAAAATTATGTAAATATATGCACAGTGCAGCTAAGATGATTGCACTACTAATTTCTATCAGTTTTTTGAAGGTAGAAGCTAATGCTTAAAATTTTTACTTTGACCAATTTTATATGCTTATATCTATAATGTGAACAACTACATTGAAGATAACAATGTGCAATATAACAATCACTGCTGAATACCAATCATCTTGTTTTCTGTGTTTTATTTATAATGTCTTACCTGTTAGTTTCCTATTCTCTTTATAATAAAAAAGGAAAGCTCTGAAGTTTCACCATCACTGTAGGAAGTTAGTGATCTGTTGAGACCATTAGCACATCTGCCAGCCCATTCTCTCTAGTGTGAACAACTAGCTGCTACTCTGCAGACCCTGGAGGAGGGTGTGTTTACACAGTGGGAGATCCTGTGGCAGGCTCCCCAAAGCAGCCCTAGAGAGCACTGGGGAAAGTGGCATTCCAGGCAGAAGGAAGAGGTGCACAGGTGCAGAGGTACTACAGGAGCTGCCAGGCACAAGCCAAGTTTGCTTAGTGCCTAAAATGTGTAAAACAGAAGGATGAGCAACAGAGCAGGTTGGGTCCACATAAACGTTTTGAGAGACTTAACTCTGTAAAATGACTGGCAGAGACCATTTACTATGTACCAGTGCATGGTTCTGAGCATTTTTCAGGTAAAACTTATTAAATCCTTGTGTTAGTCACTCATGTGGTAACCAAATGCCAAAGAAAAACTTATTAAAGGGGGAATGTTTCTATAGAGGCTCTTTCCTGTAGATGGTCCACGGAAATCCAGACAGGTTTCCCCCATCGGAGTGACAGCCCATGCGTCTCTGAAACACTGTCAAGTGAAAGTGTGCTTTACTGATCTCTTCAGTGTTTCTCAGTCCAGTTGAGTTGACCTTCAAGATTAACCACCACAATCCTTCCAGAATGTGACTATCCCAGCACACACCACACATGAGGAAGTGGAGTGACACTGGCCGTGCTCCCTGAGGGAAGGACTCTAGGATGAGATGAGTGGACAGGCCTCTCAAAAAGTGTTCCTAGGACAGGCAGGGCACAGAGGAAGCAGGACTGGGCAGAGAGAATCTGGCCTGCAGATCAGGCCCCAGAGGACACTGAGGAAAGGACAGCTCCTCAGAGCTATTCCATGTTTGGATGCCAACCAGGCATTGGAGACAAGTGCTCTAGGGAAGTGACTTTGAGCAGCTCTCTGAAGGCCATCGGCCTCCAAGAAGCTGAGGGAATAAATCCTCCAGTCTTAAGGGAGTCTCCATCTCCAGTCCCAGATTGAGAAGCCTGTCTGAGGTCATCCCTTGCATAAGCTGAAGAGGCAGGACCTGGATTCAAGGCAGCCTGGCCCAGGAGTCTGGAATTTTAGCCACATCACTGTATTGCAGTGTAGGAGATCAAGCTCCTCCCTCGGTATCCACAGAAAGTATTTTCAGGACCTCACACCTTAAGCTGTGGATGTTCACGTTTCTTACCTAAAATGGCACATTGTTGAAATCTGTGGAAACCTCATGTCTACTTCAACTCATCTCTAGATTCCTTCTAGAGCTGAATACAATGTGACTGTATATAAATAGTTGTACTGTATTGCTTAGGGAATAATGACAAGGAAGGGAGTTTATACATGTTCAATACAGATGCAATCTCAGATGTCTAACTACAGATTACTCAAAGCTGGGCATCGTAGCACATGCATGTAATCCTAGCACTCTGGAAAGCTGAGTCAGAAGGATTACAAATTTGAGCCCATGCTGGGCAACTAAGCAACTTAGTGAGACCCTGCGTCAAAATAAATATAAAAAGCTGCGGAGCTCATTACAAAGGCTTATCCACTTTGAGGTTCCATCTACAGTACCTACCACAAAACAAAAATACAAATGAGAAGCCAGGCCAGCAATTTTCAAGCCAGCAGTTCTCTGGAGAGACAGGATCTGTGATGTGGCTCAAGGCTGGGTTTGTTTACGCAAATGGATTCAAGGCAGTGCTCCTTCCTCAGAAAATTCAAGTTATGCATTTTTTATTATATTTTTATTATATATTTTTTCTTGTCTCTTGTTGTCTTTTATTACCTTTTTATTTTACAAACATTTACATTAAAGAGAGTATAGCAAAATTGATATGACATTAGAAGCAGTATGCATTTAGAAGACCAAAATGACAGGTATTTCAAGCATGACTTTAGTATTACACATTGCTATCCTCAGTGTAGTTGCTTTGTTCACGGATATCAGCATATAAAGTTAGTCAGGGTGAGCATTCTACCCATTAACTGCTATTTTCAAAAACCTGATGAAGATTCTTAGGACCGTTGCCTTAACCATCTTGTTTGTATAAATGTATGGCTTTGCCCCTTCTATATTTCCTAACTTTTCTCCTTTCTCTCTCCTCATTGTTTAAACCTTAAGTTCCTGCTCACCATTTAACTACATTATACCTTTCAATTTTTATTTCTTCTTTTAGTTCTTACACTAGGGAGACAATACAATATTTACACATGTGGGTCTGGTTTATTTCATTTATGAGTATATCTTCAAGTTGCATCCACTTATATGTAAAGACTTTGAGTTTATTTTTCTTTATAGCTAAATAATACTCCATTGTATAAAAACACCACATGTTGTTCACCCATTCCTCAGGTGATAGGCATCTTGGTTGTTTCCAGGATTTGGTTATCACAAATTGTGCTGCTATAAATATAGGCACATGTATATCACTATGATATGATGTTTTCAGTTCTTTCGGGAAAATTCCCAGAAGGAGGATAGCAGGATTGAATGGGATTTCCAGTCCTAGTTTTTTGAGGAGTCTCCACATGGATTTCCATAATGGTTGCACCGGTCTACATTCCCACCAGCAGTGGAGAAGGGCTCCTTTTTCCCCTGCAGCCTCTCCAACATTTCTTGTTGGTTGATTTCTTTATGATAGCCATTCTTTCTGGGGTGAGATTTGTTTTATTTTGAAGAGTAATAACAAGAGCAAGAAAAACAAAAGCAAAAACAGAAACAGGGTAACATATGACAACACACGTTACAGTTTTTCAAAATAAGAATAGCTGAATAACAGTGATTGATATATTATCTATTTTTATCAAGTCTGTTGCTCAGATTAACAGATATAGTTATGCAAGATGGGTCATATGATTGAATATTACCACATGCATTTTTTAATTTTCTGGAATTTCTTTAGCTGAACAATTTCCATCTGGGGTTAGTTGAATCTGTGGATCCAGAATCTACAGAATCAGAACCTGCCAGTAAGCAGGGTTGACTGTATTTCCGAGCTGAGGTCAAGGGCCAGGATCATGGCCCTGGATAACGTACAGCAGGTGGGAGCAGAAAGTGCAAGTGAGAAGACTGCGTGTCTGTGTGCAAAATTCCAAAGGTACAAAGAGTACATAAAAACAAATCTTGTCACTCCTGTCTCTTCTGCTCCCTGGTTACAGCCATCATTCCCAGTTTCTAGTATCTTCTCCGACAGTGCACAGTCACATGTGTCAGGATTTATACTGTGGACATCACGTTAGCTATGCTGCTGTGCAGCCTGCTCCTTACATTATCACCAAGCTTAGCGCCCACTACCTTGCACCGCACGTGGAACCGCCATGTTCCCTTCAAGCCCCAGCCTTGGGATTTGCTATAACTCATTGAGCCATGCCTTTTTTTTGTAGTATATTTTTAATGTATTTGGTTGTTGCAGGTTCTCACTACACAGCTCAGACTTGTAGTGATCCTCCTACTTTCAACCTCCCCAGTGCTGAGATTACAGGTTTGCGCCACTAAGCACAGACTCTGGAGGGCTCAGCTCACCCTGGGGACGCAGCTGGTGAGGCTGTGTGAACCATGCCTCTTGATGGGCTGTAAACATTTTAAACAACAAACAATGCTGTCACAGACATGTGGCAGTACTCACACGTGAGATTATTTCCGTGAGACAACATTCAAAAATAACTATATCAAAGGATATGTGCAGCTTTTATTTTGATACAGCTAAATTGCTCTTTATCCAGGTCTACAGTGTGTCTGGCACCTGTTTCCTCAAAGCCCGGGTCTATGTGAACATAGTAATTCCATGTGCCCTTAACTCGAGTCTCTTTTGCAATGACTGGGGCTCAGCAGTTGCTTGTGGATTTAAAAAGATCGTTACATTCCCTCTCCTGTAATGACCTGTATTCTTTGTGAGCTTTTGTTTCTGGTTCCTCTTTTACTTAGGAGTTCTTTTCTGCTGTGACAAATATGTAGACCGTCTTGGGTTTGTTTGTTTGTTTGTTTGTTTGTTTGTTTTTTGTCTTTTTGAGACAGGGTCTCGCCATGCAGAATGTCTTTTTAAAAACACGGTCCTCCAAGGAAGCCAGAGACAGAAAGCAAAAGCTGGCCTCTATGTGTATCGGAGGCGGGGAGTCGGCTCTAGGGGTGGAGGACAAGCGAGGTCTCCGGCAGGGTTGGTCCATCCTGGCCGGGGTGGCAGCAGTCAGGGACACTCGTCACTGGGGCTCACCTGTGTCATTCCACTGTGTCTCTGTCCCCAGCTCCTGTGCTCCTCGGTGCAGAAGGCCCTGTTTGAGGAGGAGGACCACGTCAAGAAACTGCAGCAGAAGGTGGCCACCCTGGAGAAGCGGAACAAGCAGCTGCGCGAGCGAGTGAAGAAGGTCAAGAGGTCTCTGCGGCAGGCCCGGAAGAGCGGGCGCCAGCTGGAGCTGGTGAACCAGAAGCTGAGTGAAAAGCTGGCCTCAGCCGGCATGCTCCCGCACATCAACGCCCTGGGGCGGGAGCCCGCTCTTGCCCCCTACCGGAAAGGGTAGTAGGAGCACTGGGCTGCTGGGCCCGCGCCAATTCCCGCAGGCTTGGGGAAAGAGGGGCTTTCACAGGGCACTTGTTTCAGACCTTGTAGAAGATCTCTATTCTGTAGAGTCTAACCGGATAGAGTGACAAGCATTGCTTTCCTCTTGGGTGCTAGCCTTAGCCTCAGACCCTGCATGCTGCCTCCTCCCGCCGGGCCCCAGTCGTGGTGCCAGAAGTTCAGGGAAAGCAAGACCTGCAAGGGCTGAGTGGTTGGCCAGGGTCTGGCCTCAGCCTCTACGAGCAGCCTAGAAAGTGCCCTGTCTGGGGAAGAACCTCAGTGCACATACAAGTGGGAGTCTCAGCTCCTGGTCCAACGCAAAACTGAGTCCCAAGGACTCAGCTGGAGCAGGTCCTGAAACCCTTGGTGACCCTTGTCCACACCTTTGTAAGCAAGACACCCATGAACAACAGAGCAGGACAACCTGAGTCTGTTGGGGTCCACACAGCCCAGGCAGATTAGGCCTTAAAGAGCTCATTACAGATAGGGAGTTCATTCTAGAGTGGGACAGCAGATAATCAAAAAAGGGGAATTATACATGGTATCCAATACAAGCTCCCAAGAGTGAATCAATGCTAACCAATCTAGGGGGCAATTACTTCTATGGGGCTGCTGCACTTCAAAGTGTGTTTCTGAATCAGAGTTTAACTCAGCTACTGCTAAGTTTTAACTTCTTTTTTGCCCATAATTTCTTTTAATGTCTGTGTTTGAGGTGAGCTGCCCCAACACACTGTGAGCTTCTGTTCTGCAGACACCACCCCACCTAAGGGATCAGATGATCTCACCTCATTTCCATCAGGGTTCCCAGAGGGCTTTTTTGCAGATGTTCCAACCTCTGCTTCTTTATGCACTACCTCTTCCCTGGCTCATTATACCTGAGAGATGGTTGCACAGCAGTGCACTTGGCATAACAGATCCTCAAGCCATCAGTGTACCTTTCCTTCTTTAGAAAGAATGCTTTTAAGGCAACGAAAGTAAGAGTATTTCTGCATCACTCAGGCACATTAAGTCCCAGGTGTGTTTCTAAGAAGTCAGCCAGTCCTTGGTTATCATTTGACAATGGCCCTCCAAACCAAGTGTCCTTCCCACTTGTCCCAGTGAGAGCCACTCGCCTCACCTCTGGTCTGCCACCCAAAGGCCACTGCAGGCCCCACAGGGTTGATGATGCCACTTTCTCTATTGGTAATGGTAGGTGCTGTCAGATTTCTCATCCCTTGTGATTAGGAAGGCCAGGTGCTGCTTGCTATGGCAGCCAGTCTAGGGAGATGAGCCTTACATCATTTAGATCTTGGTTGTAGGCTGCCAGCCCATGGGGACGTCTATGCCCAGAACTGGATAGGAGGGGAATACTATTCAGAGTCACCTGCTCCCATCTGGTTAGCTTTATTCTTCACAGTGTTCTGATTCTTCTAGTTCATTCTTTCTGGGCACATTTTGTTAAAGTAGTTTGCTTCCAACCAAGCAAATTGGAAGTCTAGGGATGATTTACAGGCTGGGTTTGGAGAACTATGCAAGTTGTATCTCACAGATGCTTTATGTTTTGCTTTTTCAATAAATATGAGCAGTGATTTCAATCACAATAAGGCAGTTGAGTGTTTCTTTGGGTCAGGAAGATTTCAGGAGTTCTAACTTTGCCTGGAAAAGTGATATAGCTCCTTTGGGGGAAATGCCTATGAGTCATACCTGGGACATTTAGAAGACTGTGTCTAAGCCTACTCTGCTGTACCCATCTGGATATGGTCTCAGCCAGTCTGTCCTGAGGTCCCCATCTTTCTTCACACCTGAAGAAAAAGCAGTGTTATCCTACATTGTTCCTCATGAGGGATAAGTGGTGTTATTAATCAATGTCTTTGGAATGGCACTCAGGTCTGCTGCCGAAGGAGACTCCCAGGTTCCTGTTATCTGCTGCATCATCATTTTACTGCAACCTTTGCCACTTGTTAATTATGCTCCTAGGAATTTCTTATACCTCATAAAATTCCAACTGCAGGAATTACTCAAAATTTCACATACTTTAACCAGCAAGTCATAGCATCTTCTCTGAAACATAACCTCTTGTTTACTTTCTCTCTGTACCATGCATAGCACAAGTGACTTTTCCAAAATTATGCAATAAGTGACAGGCAGATGAAATCAAAGATCTTTAAATTACAGTCCCCAGAAGTCCCAAACTGGCAGCATGTGAACAACAGCCAGTGTGGAGATGAGACTGCTGTGGCTGTCATGGTGCCTTAGAGTGTGAGTGCCTTTGACAGGACCCACTCAGGCTACTATTCCTAGTGCTACTGCTCTCAACTTTAAAATAATTTAACACCAGGCTTCACTCCACATTAATGATACCTGCCTGGCAGCAGGAAAAGAATACAAACTCAAGTCACAATGAGTTTGAATCAATGGTTGGTTAAGCGACAATTCATGTTACGTTTAACCCCCAGTGCTGGGAGTTGAATCTGGAGTCTTGAAAAAACTCTACTAGTGAACTTAACCCCTAGACCAGCAGTTAATTCTATGATATTTTTAAAAACCAAGCACACAGCATGCACTGGCTTTCCCAACCTTATTTCATTTAATATTCTTAATAATTTTATAAATACAGATCCTATCCCCTAGTCACCAAGAGGAATCTGAAGCATGCAGAAATTAAACTGCCCAAGGTACTCAGCTACACAGGTGTTAGATATTCCAATCCACTTCACTTCTCTCTCAGTTCATCATTATTTATATCTGTCCTTGCTCACCTGGACATGGGTAAATCATACTCCTTGCCCAAAGGCTGATAGAGATTTTCAAATGTACAGTTCAGTGTCTGATGCCACAAGTGCTCAGTAGATGTTACTTGTAATCATTTGTATTATTAATATTTGCCAGAAAGGCACAGTGTGTCATGATATGAGAATTTGGTGGAGATTCCATATAATTTTCTTGCTAAACTTTATCTGAATTTTTGATCCCTATTTTTCTATTTACCACAGAACTTTCTAGACTTTTTTCATTTTCTTTATTCCTGTCAGACCATCCGTCTGCCTTTCATTCATGCAACAATGACTTTTACTATAGATTTATGAAGGGAACAGAGCCCCTAAGAAATGTGTTCCCTTAAGTCCCTTCCCTGCTCAATCTGTCTGGTCTTGCTTATTCTGCTTGCCCCATGTCCCTGCCGGCCCCATTCAGTGTCAACAACATGGCCTTTGCCTCTTACACAGGAATTCATATTGATCTCCCTAAAACCTGGCACTTTGGTCTGAATGTGCCTTCTACAAGCTTGTGTGTTGGAAATGACCCCCAAATTCATGTTGATAGCATATGAAGATGACTAGGGTTTGGTGAGGTCATGAGAGTGGGGCCTGCAGGAAGGGATTAGAGATTTTCTAAGAGGAAACACCTAAGCTGGGCCTTAGCTCTGTCTCACCATGTGATGTCTATCATGAGAGGCTCTCACTGGATGCCAAACATGTATTCTTTGTTCTTGGACATCTTGCCTTCCAAAGCTATGAGCCAAAGACACTTCTACTCTTTATAAATTATAGCCTTAGGTATTTTGTTACAGTAACAAAAAATGGGCTAAAGTTTCTGGCCTCAGTATTAATTTTTTAAATCATAAATATTTCCCTCTTTAGGGACCCTTGTCTTTATCATCTAGATATACTCAGAGCTACTCATCCTAAGAAAAGGCCAGAAACTTACCACAAGCTTAAGAGTAGCTATGTATGGCCCTTTTTCACCTTGGGGTTATTACCCTGGCTCTGTCCCTTAATCTATAATGATTTTTTTCAGCACTTGTGGTTAAACACAAGGTCTTCGTCCTGGCCTACTTCCCCAGTCCTTTGTTGTTGTTGTTTTTAATTTTGGGATATGATCTAAATCACCCAGTTTCCAGGTCTGGGCATAAGCTTACAAATCTCCTGTATTGGCCTTCCAGAATGCTGGTATTACAACCGTGCACCATTACAACCAGCCCTATAATGGAACTTCCTACCATCTGCAAGTGAAGGTTTCTACCTACTAACTTGCTGTGTGACTCCTTGACCCATCAGAACCAATGTTAATCTGTAGTGCTGCTTTCCAGGGGTCACTTGCTAAAAATATTTCCTCCCTGATCTTCTCAATAAATCTGAAGCCCTGGACACAACTCCCTACTTATTACTAAAACTCTTTTCTTCCCTTTTTTACATTCCTCTTCCTCCTATCTCATGGTCACTGTCAAACTATTGTACTAGCTTTCACATAATCTTAAATTTACCAATTAAACAAGCAACAAAACTGCCAATACTTGAATGTCTATGTCTGTAGTTATTGGAAGTGTAGATCAGTGGTTCCCAGTAGAATTTTCTACAATAACAATGAAAAATATACATATGTGTGTTTGCTGTCCAAGATGGTAGCTACCATCTTTAGCTCTTAAAAATATGCCCTGTGTCTCATACTCTTCTCTCTCATTGCTGGGACAAAACACCCAACACCCAAAATTAAGGAAAGAAATGTTTATTTAGCTCACAGTTAGTGGAGGTTTCAGTCCATACTCAGGTGGCTCCAAGGCAGAGTGGCACATGGCAGGGAGAAACCCATCATGGCAGTGGAAAACAGCAAAGAGCAAAAGGAGGAGTTGTACCTAGAGCTGCTAGCTAGCCTCTCTCCCCTCTTTAAGTTGCAATGCAGATTATTTGCCCCAGGATGACTGTAGCACTCACACCCATAATCCCAACATTGGATCATGAATTAATCACAAACTCTAGAAGCTACCCCAAGACTACATGAGGCTTTGGGGGGGGGGTGCAACTAGAAACAAACCATAACAACTTGTTATTAATGAACTGAATTTTTATTAAGTTAGTTTCAATTACTCTAAATTTATGGAACCACATAAGGATAGTGGCAACCATATTTGATAGCAAGATCTAGAAAATGCCTTCACATTTTTAGAGACAGCTGTGTCATGGTAACTGTTCCCCCCTCTTTTTTTCTTTTATTTTACTACAGAAGCCCTGTGTATTGTGGTAGCAATGTACCAAATTATACTAAAGCAACATTTCCAGGCTATAATTTTGAGCCTGTCACTGAGTGATCAATGAGCTGTAAGGAATAGTCATTAGGTAGATTTTACATGAAAAGTAATGTATGATTAATTACCTGGCAGATTTTCTTTGTGTCCTTCCTACCTGTTCTTTTCCTTCTTTACTACAACTTACAAGTGGCAACTGGAACACTCACAGGTATCTTGTGACATAAAGCAATCATTTGGGCAGCAGCCATGTACTACTACGTATGACAAAGAAAAGAGTTAAAGGAGAGAAGTCTGTATTGACAATGCAGAGTTACCTGACCAGCCATGAAATATGTACCGCTGGCTTTAGGAAGAAAAAAAAAGAAATAATACTGTCCTGAATCACTGTTATTTCAGTTCTCTGACACTAATGATTTAGTAACTGGTACCAGAAGTGATCATAAGTAACATAACTTCAAAGCAACTGGAACCCAGAAAGAATTAACTAACTTGATTGGTTTTGAAAATAGTTAAATTCTGATTAGGTTTAAAGAGCAGGATGCTAAACTATGGAGTTAAATGGTTTTTATAGAGCTGTGCTTCGGAATTTAAATAAATAAATAAATAAATAACAGACAGGCTTAAGGTTTTAAATTCTTGATCTAAACTCAGAAAATTTCATTTAATCACAAAGCCAACATAGCCAAAGGTGGATGTGGGGCATCTTAGGTTAAAGATAGCCTTACCAAAACTCATTTCAAAAATCTCACAAACAAGAATGGTTCAAAAAATCTTACTTCAGATATTAAGTCTGATTACTCTGCATTCAGAAATCCTACTGACCTCCCTCCCCCTGCTAGCCAAAGTAGCAATTCCTTCCCGGTCTAATGAAGCGGATCCCACTTTACTTAAGACCCATGTAATTAGACACCTCATAAAGAGCCCAAGTTCATCCTGCCCTGCTCTTAGAACTGGCTCCATAGTTTGCACATCCCAATACAAAGAGACATTTCTTAGAGCCTTGTTAAAAAGTTCTTGAGAATTTCAAAGCAGTGACAACAAAGCACTCTCCAAGTCTGAGACCTTTCTGAACAGGAGACTGATTGCTCTGGTCAGAGGCCCTTGACACTGGCACTGCCGACCATACCTGCACACCTACTTTAAAGTAATTGTACATGAAGCTCATCACAAAATCACACTTGGGAGAAGGTTAATATGCTAAAAGAATTTTAATAATTTACAGGGGTCTTTTTTGGTTAAAACCTAGGGGCTATATGATGAGAATAAATTTTCAGGGTTTCTCCTAAGCTACAGAGGGAAAAATATCTAATTTTAGATTACACAGAATTTATTGTGTATTTGAAAAAGCTTCTACAGTCAATGCACTGTCTCAAGGCAACTGGGGATGATTCTAAATGTTTTTTTTAGCTACTTAAAATCTGGACTCTTCGGTATGATCCTGGATGAAATTGGGTGTTAGCAATTCCTAGGTATAATTTAGATAAATTAATTCAAAGTATTAGTGGGATTAGGGTCAGGCTATAACCTAGTCACCTACTCCTAATTTGGCATCTGAGATGACCTGGAACTTTG